TTGTGTAGAAGAAGAACTAAAAAGGTTGAGAAAGTGTTAAGGAACTTAATGGAGGAGGAAAAGCAAGCAGAAAAGCAGTAACAACGAAAGAGAGTGTGTTACTGCTGACAAAGCAACTAGTTGTTAACAACCATATTGTTTAGTGATTCAGGAAGCAAAGTTATGAATATTTACGTCCCGATGTTATGCTTTGTTATTTAATAGAGTTTTACTTACCATATTACAGTTACACTTTAGGAAACTGGTTTGAGTTAACAAGTAACATATTACAATTATACCATTTAAAATAAAAAGAAATAGGTTCCCAGTTAAGGTTTTTGCACAGGACATCTGACTTTCAGAAACAAATTACTAATATTAAGTGGATAGCTGTATAATTTCACATCAAAACTATCAAAGACAGGATGTGAAAGATAACCACAGTCCCAACTCACCCATAAATGTAAGGGCAAAAATTCTAAACAATATTTTTTGAAATGACACATTTGGTTTCTTTCAGAAATGGAAGCCTGGTTCAACATCAGAAAAATACATTAATGCAGAGCACCTGGGTGGTACAGTCAGTTAAGCATCCTACTTTTGGTTTTGGCTCAGGGTAGTGAATTAAGCCCTGCATCGGGCTCTGAACTCAGTGTGAAGTCTGCTTAAGAGTCTCTCTCCCTCTTTCTCTCTCTCTCTAAAATAATAAATAAATCCTTAAAAAAAAAAAGAAAAATGCATTAATGCAATGCACCACATGAACAAATTACAAAAAAATACATTCATCTCAACGAGGCAGATAAAACATCTAATAAAATTCAACATTCATGTATGATAAAAAAAATTACTAGCAAACCAGATATACATATGGAAACTCCCATACCTGATGAACAATAGGAAATACATAAAAATGTCATCCACATCATACACATGTGCTGAAACTTCAAAAGCATTCCTTTAAAATCATGAATGAGGGTGGGGCGCCCAGGTGGCTCAGTGGGTTAAAGCCTCTGCCTTTGGCTCAGGTTGTGGTTTCAGGGTCCTGGGATCGAGCCCTGCATCGGGCTCTCTGCTCAGCAGGGAGCCTGCTTACCCCTCTCTCTTTCTGCCTGCCTCTCTGCCTACTTGTGATCTCTGTCTCTGTCAAATAAATAAATAAAATCTTTAAAAAAAATTTTTTTTAATAAATAAATAAATAAATAATAAAAAAATCATAAATGAGGCCAGCCTGGATGGCTCAGTCGGTTAAGTGTCTGCCTTCAGCTCAGATCATGATCCCAGGGTCTCGAGATGAGTCCCACGTGGGGCTCCCTACTCACTGGGGAGTCTGAGTCTCCCTCTGACCCTTCTCCCTCTGCAGTGCTCTCTCTCTCACATGCAAATAAATAAATTTTTAAAAAATAAATAAAATGAAATCATGAACAAGACAAGGATGTCTACTATTATCTCCCTATTAGACACTGTCCTATAAGCCCTAGTTTGGACATTCTTTGTCATACACACACACACACACACACACACACAGTATAAGAATTTGGAAGAAATAAAGCCTCGGCAGGAAATACTATTTTTTAAGAAGAAATCTCCCCCAAATGTACAAATGACTTGAAATTATATATTATTTATTATAATTATTTATAGTTATACATTATTTTAATTATTTATGATTATATATCTTTATAAATATGTATATATAAATATATATAATTACATGTAAATATATAAATATATAATAATTATTTGTATTATTTATAATAATACAATATATATTATATAATTATTATAAATTATTTAATATCTATTGGATATTAATTAATATTCATAACACCCACAATAACAAATATTGACTCCAAATGGTTAGAATGAAATGTGCATAGCTTATCTGCAAAATCTTACTTATGTTCCTGATAATAACATTGGGGTGGGACAAGAAAGAGTGGGGTAAAAAAAACAGCTCACTTATCACTCTGCCCCTTACAGAGTGTGTTGGTTTTTTCTTGCATCTGTAACAAACTAACACAAATTTAGCAGCTTACAATGACACAAATTTATTATCACATTTTGACCTCTGTAGGTCAAAAGTCTGGCATGAGCATCACCAGTTAAAATCAAAACATCAGCAGGGCTGTGCTCTTTTCTGGAGACTCTAGGACAGAGTCTGTTTCCATGCTCATTCGGGATGTTGGCAGAATTCAGTTCCATGCAGTTGTAGAAATGAAGTCTCTGGTTCCTTGCTGTCAGCTGAAAGCCGTTCCCAGCTTCTAGAGCTGAAACTGTATTCTTTGGCTTCAAAGATCTTCTTCCTCCAATTTAAAGCTAGCAATGGAAGGTTGAGCCCCTCTCCTGCCTTCTCTTCCACCACATCTAATTCTTCTGCCTTCCTCTTCAATTTTTATCTCCTCTATCATGGTCCCCAACCTTAATGACATCTGCAAAGCCTCTTTTACTCTATAATGAAACATCCACAAGCTCAGGTGATGAGGACGTGGACATCTTTGGGGAACCATGCTTCGCAAGGAAACCCAGCTTGTTCCATGTTTGCACTAACACTACATGTAGCTTGTATGTCCTTACATAATGCCTCAGCCCCAGCAGGCAAAGGTGGTGGAAAAACTAAGTAGCAAATACCCTCTATATTTTTGTGTCCTTCCTGCTTGCCTTGGCTTAATTATTGGATTTTCCTTATCAGGCTGTGTGAGGTTGAAGTAGAAAGATGAAGAATTTAGAATTGATTTCCTGACACCAACACTAACTCAACAATTGGAACAAATGCCTCCCCACTATCTACTCTTGAACCATCCAGAGTTTGGGAAAGAAATATAAAGGGGAGAATAGAAAAGCATAAGGTGGGAACAAAAATGTCAAGCCATTAAAAGAAAAACACCAACATATTTCTCCTTTCCTTAAGAACTCAACCCAAGAAGATTCCATATCTTGGGTGAGGACAAATGAGAAGAGCTAAGCTCATGAGAGTCATTTGTTGTATGTTACTATGTATTACATGGAGCTAGATGATTCCACAAGGCTTTCTTTTTTATTTATTTATTTATTTATTTATTTATTTGACAGAGTGATCACAAGTAGGCACAGAGGCAGGCAGAGAGAGAGGGGAAAGCAGGCTCCCCTCTGAGCAGAGCCCAATGCCAGGCTCAGTCCCAGGACCCTGAGATCATGACCTGAGCTGAAGGCAGAGGCTTAACTCACTGAGCCACCCAGGCGTCCCTCCACAAGACTTTCTTAATTCTTTAAACTAACATGTGTTCATGGGTATAGTTATTATCCTATAAATGAGGAACCTTGGGGTCAAAGAAGTGGTTATTTACCTAAGAGAACAAGTGTTGGAGCTGGATATAAACCCAGGTCTGCTGGCTGCTCCAGCCCAAGAGAAGCCAAGACTGAGATTTGTTATAAACCCCACACTGTACCATTCAATGTCTTAAAATTACACTCCTAGAGGTATCCCCCTTCCCCAACCTTTTCTCACCCAGATGTTACAGTAACTTCCTAATAAAGGTTTGCGCTATTTCCTTTCTTGTGATCATTACACATTTACTCCTTCAGTATGTCCCAAGTGTCCACGAGTTGATATTATCCTTCCCGCTAGTCCTTGTGTGGGCTTGGTTGTTTGTTGTTGTTTTTTTTCTTAATCTTTTTCCTTTCTTCCTTCTCTCTCTCTCTCTCTCTCTCTCACTAGCTTTAAAGAAATGAGGAAAAGTGCTGGGGTGTCGTCCCTTGATTAAAGTCTCTGCTAGGACCTACAGGAGCAAGGAGCCCCCCCTGGCTATTACACAGCAGATCTCACTGCGGTCTCTCTCACTTCACTGCATTAGGGTTATCAGGCAAAAAGCCAATTAACAACCTCTGCTTTATTTCTGTGGTAAGCATTAGTCGACTCTAAAATTTCAGCATAAAATCCCAACTCCTACCCCAATTACCAAGCCTCATAAGATTTGCTCCTACCTGTCTCTTCCGCTGCATCTTATGCCATTCTGCACTCCTCAGGCTGCTCCAGCCACACAGGCTGCTTCTCAGCACCAGAAATGTGACTAGTTTGAACTGAAATGTGCTGGAAGTATAAAATACACGCCAGACTTTTAAGCAAAATATATCATGAACGTATATCATTAATCATTAATGATTTTGCATTGATTACATGCTAAGTTACTACTGAAATTAATTTAAACTTGTTTTTTACTTTTGGGGTGGCATTTCAAACACTTAAAATGGAATTCGTGGTCCGCACTGTTTCTATCGAACAGCCTGCTCTGCCACATGACCTCCTTTTGCTTCCTCCTTGGCACTCAGGCCATCTGAACCTACGTTGTCCATGTCACCTATTCAGTGCCTTTCCCGCCCAACTTAGAACGGAAGCCGGGACCCCTGGGCGTCTCATTCACACCCGGTTCCCAGGCATTGAGGTCAGAGCCTGAAGCTAGGAAGGGCTCTACAAATATGTTCTTTGAATGAAGGACCCGACTCTTCCTCAGCCTGAGACTGAAGAACACGAGGTCTCAAGTCCTCTGCGCTACACCCGCAGCTCAGCGCGGACCACACGCTCCGGACACTGGGAGAGGTGTGGATACCGGAGAAAACCTGCCTGGGCGAAAGCACTGGTCGCACAACGCAAAGCTGAAAGGAGGACCCCTAGCCCCTCCGTCCTCTTTCCCTCGTCCCCCCCAGTCCCGCGACCAATCACCGCGCACTTCGCCCTTGCGCCGCACGGTGGCGTCTCGCGAGGGCGCGGCGGCCAGTGGTACAGTCCGTCCTCCCCGCGCCTCCCGGACAGTGGGCCCTTCCAGTCGTAGAAAAGCATTGTGGGAGTAGCGTGCGGCCCTTCTTGCTTCTGCGCTGGGCTGGGAGGAAGTGTTCTGCGCCTTCCGTGAAGACGGGGCACTCCGCGTGCGCGGTTTTTTGGCCTCCAACGCGCCCAGGCTCCGTGCAGGGGCGCGCGGCCGCCTTGAGGGTGATGAGACGTCTTTCGCAGCCGGGCCGGTCCCGAGGATCCCGTGCCCTGAAGCGGCCTTGGCTCGGCCACGTTGCCGGTGGACCGCAGGAGGCACCCTAGGCGGCACTCAGGCTGCCTGCCCACGCCAGGAAATGGGAGCTGGGTGGGTTTGAGGGCTTTTGAGTTTCTTGGTCATCGACTGTGTGCCGGGGAGGTTTCCGTATAAGCAGGGATTTCTTGGGTGTGAAAGAGAAAGGCCTCGCCATAGGTAGGCATGTGTGCCTACCGCATCACAGTTGAGATCGAGTCAACGTAGGAGTAAAGTGCCATTTAAGGTTTAGATCTCGGTAATTGTTTCAAGATGCGGAACTCGGCGAATGAGTGTCATCGACTTTGCAGGTGAGTTTGCATGTTCGTGCAAGAAAAGCCGGTTGCCTCGCAGCTTCAGTGTTTTAACCACTAAAAACATTTTGAATTGTAAAGGAAAATTTACAGCTGAAATTAATCCCTTTCCAGCTCTAACCCACAGAACAGATCATTACAGGGTCGGCAGCTTTGTGCCAAAGAACAGTCCTTGCGCAGTTTCCTTGTAGCCTTTGTGTTGCCCGTTCACTTTTGGAAACTAGTGAATGTGGTGTCAAAAAAGGCATAAACTAAACACTTTGCAGCCTTTTCCTGCCTTTGAATTTGGTATCTTTGGTGTAGGAGCTGCGGAAGTAACAGTTGATGCTTTTGCCTTAGTTTATCTATGTGATCTTGAGTCTGCCAACATGAAGTGGTATAGTTTTTCTTTTTAAATTTTGTGCAGGTGAAAGCTGGATGCTTGAAGTAAAGACTACTGCTAGCTGAACACTGGGAGCACAAAGGTGACTAAGGTAGGGTGATGCTACCTTGTAGTTCTGTCGCAAATTTTATCTTTCCACATTGGGCTGCCTTTTCTAGTGGGTGTTAGATTAAATTAATATTAGTACTCCAACATCTGTAGTTAACAAGGTGAAATTAACAGCAAATAGGGTAGCCTGTTCCTAGCTTGCTTTTGTAATTTTAAGATAATGTGTATGTATGTAGCACCTACATTTCAAACACTTAGTCAAATCTCAGGTATGTTTTATGTGGACATTTAAAGCTGAGTCCAGACCTGCATAACTTAATGGAATTCAGAGGAGTATGGACTGTTAACCTATGATACATGTGAATATTTGCTTGTTAAATTGAGTGCTTTTTGTTTTTTTAGGATGTCCTTGATGAGGAATTCAAAAACATCATAGGAAATCTTGACAAGAGTTGCTTGGATCATTTAAAACTCCCAGGAGCCTGAGGGGCACTAAAATTAGTGCTTTTGGACAGTCTATAAATAAACACACCTAAAACAGTAGGCCTACAAATAAATATTTCATTGTGCTTCTTGAAGGTTTGTGTATTAACCACCAGCAAATAGCACTTTTCACTGAAAGATCAGAGGAAAGGAAGGGTTTCTCCTTCCTTCCCCAGCAACTTCAAAATGATGAAATCTCAGTAAGTTTCTAGGTCACAGGTGTGTTTTCCATGGTCACTGCATTTTTATTTTTATTTTTATTAGATGACAGCATATCTTCTGCCTTCACTTTGCAGGAAAGAACAAATAGTCTGAACATTCAAAAAATTTATTGAACTTTTCAGTAATGTACTAGGAAGTGGGGACACAAGGGTGAGCAAAACAGTTCCTCCTTTGGAAGCTTAGAGTTGACTGGCAGAAACGTCATCACAAATATAAAAATTTGTGAGACAAGTCCCATGCATGAGTTGACCAAGACAAAGAAACCTGAGAAAGCTGTTGAGTCTAAGGGTAGGTGTCATTTTTGCAAGGCAAAGTTAGGGATGGTGTATGCAGAGGCCTTGGGCTAAAAAAGGTCCAGATTGGTCATAGTTGTAGTTAATTTCCCTCTTAAATGCCCTGATTCAGGCAAGTGCTTAATGAGGCTTGAAGGTGGCTGTTTGCTGAGCCTGGGGTATTACAAAATGAGCCTGAACAACAGGTAAGAGACCAGACCACCACCTATGGCTGTTTATAGCAAGGAGAAATCCAGGATAGTTAATATCTGTCAGAAAAAGGATGCGGTGGGCCAACTGGAGAATTACTGCAGTTGTCTAGGCAAGAGACCACTACCTTGGAATAGTGTGGTAAAATTTGTGGGGATCGTTAAACTGTAGAGGGCAAAGCTCACAGGAGTTGGTAATAGGGGAGGTGTCTATAACGATTGCTAGTTGTGTCTTGCACATTCACAATGTAATGGTCCTAAATCCAGCTAGAGAGCAACATTTTTAACTAGTTGAATTGGGATTGCCTTGGAGACATCTAAGTGGCCTTCTGGCAGAACACTGGTCTATAGACTAAGCTACAGGAATATACTTTAAGGCTATGGGCATAAATGACATCCACTTATTGGGGAGGGCTGAGATTGGAGTGAGAAACTAATTGGCGAGGTAGAACAGCATCTGACTGGAGCAGTAAAGGATGGTCAGAAACGTAGCAACAAATACTGCACTAAAAATGTTGCGGGGCAAACCGGCAAAATTTGGTACACAGTAGTATTTAGTGAGGTCTGTAGTGGAGCAGTTTAAATCACAATTTAGGAGATGGATTGAGGACACAGGCTACAGATAACCCTTTCAAGAAACTGGGAGAGAGAAAGATAGCTAGGGAGGGAATTGTGGTTGTGAAAGTTGGCTGGCTGTTTTTAGGTGGGAGAGTTAATAGTTTAAAACCAAGTTGCAAGGATCTGGCTGAGAGGAGTATGTTGACAGATAAGGCTGAAGGAGATTGGGCTCCAAACCACACAGACAGGGACAGGAGTACTGTTGATAGCAACTCTGGAGAAGTTTGGGGGAGGGAGAAGGTGAGATGTCCTGTGTGAGTATTCCTATTTTCCCTGTAATAGTCACCCTCAAATGAATTCATCTTTGAGGGGAGTTAGGTAGCTAGGCAAGATGGAGGGACCATTTGCATTTGAGGGTCGTGAATTTATAAGCTGAGGTCAACTGAAATCCAGTCTTTTCTGAAAACACAAGGACACTAGAAGTTAAAAGCAACACTTAACAAAAACCTTTTTTACACTTGTAAATAATCAGTGGAACTTAATGCCATAAAATACAGTATTACAAAGAACATATTTATATTAATAAAAACATCTGCAATCTGAAAGTGATGTCTCAGTCTTCATAAATCTGTGCATGGGCTGAGATCCACCTAGAGTTGGGAAAAATCTTTTCCTCCACTTGGTGTGCTATTGCATAGCTAGGCAGCTGCACACCAGGATTCCCGAGCTTTGATTGGAAGCATCTGGTCTTGGTCATGGACACAGGAAGAAAAATAGGGCATCAAGTGAATGAGTTTTCACAAGACTGTTCCAGTTACGAAATAAAAAGGCCCTTCAGCACAAATATGCTGTTAAACCTTTAAAAGATGCAACAGGTTCGATTTTTTTTTTTTTCTTAAACACTTGCAGGTCCAATATACTTGAATAATTAACAATTCACAGTTTAAAAGTAAAGGTGGCACATACCCCTTCCCACCCCCAATCCCAGGCCCTTCTTCCTTGGCATCAAGTCTCTAGCTTAAGGCGTGAAGCTTGGACAGTTTTTACTGTTTTTGCCGTGTGTTTTCCAGCCAAATTGCTTGTAGATGCCTGAGATTTTTCTTCAATCAGGCTATCTTTAGATCCATTTCTTCTCTAGAAAGAAAAATACATTCAAAAGATAAGATTCAGAGAAAATTGAAATCAGTTTTATTAATACATCAGAAATTAAGACCTCAAACCACAAAACACTTAAGCTTCACAATATCAAAAGCTGTTCAACAAATAATCGTTATAATATGATTAAATCGTAAATGTAGAGTTAAATCATAGTAAATCATAATACACTTTATGCATGAAAATTAGTCCTCAGTTATGCACACAGGGAGGTTACCCAAAACAGCACTACCATGTAAATTAGTCTACCACTAAACCTGTCCACTCTGCCTTCATATTTAAGGACATAAAGGGAATCAGTCCATCATCCATCCCACTTTAACCAGCTTTTGGTGAGGTGAGGTATAGGCTGGCCATGCCACTCCCAGACTTATGTACCCTGGTAGAACTAGGACATGCAGCTTTTCTGCTTCCCTGGCTCACTAAGTTCCCTTCACATGGCAGCCAAATCAATGGTTTCCTTTTGGCACTTGGAATAAAATCCACACTTTTTTCCATGGTATCTAAAGCCCTGTGTTATCTGGCCCCACCCCCACAGTGCTCAGACCACATGGGCTTTCAGCTCAAACAGGCCCTTTAGGATTGTTTCCTCCCAGGCTCCTTCCTCTGCACCCGGGTGGCTCCTCCCCTGCAAGGTTTCAGCTTTACACCTTGGTTTCTGAGATGGCTTTCATGGACCATTCATCTCTGTAAAGTGAGGTCACCTGTAGATTTTCTAACTCAGCCCTTTGTTTCTTCATAATGCTTAACTAGTTTTTAAATTTTGCCTGTTTCCTTTTATGTGTTACCTGTCTAGGCCAGGAGTCAGCAAACATTTTTCTGTGAAGGGCCAGACTGTGGACTCTTATCTGCTTGTTGTTAGGTTGCGCCCCCCCCCCCCCACCAAACACCCCCTTCTTTAAAACAACCCTTTAAAAATGGAAAAGCCATTATTAGCTCCTGGCCTGTACAAAAACAGACCAGATTTAGCCTATAAGACTGGTATGCTGACTACCCAACCAGTGCCTGTCTCATTACATGTGCTCATTAGATGTCTGTTGAATTCAAAGTCAAAGGTGTCACAGAGACAAGCTTAGAATCAGAGCCACTGGTCAGAAGATGCATGGGAGTTCTTGTGCGCAGCAAAGTGAGAGCCACTCTTCAGTATGCCTAAGTTTGAGATTCCTAAGTGATGGTGATAAGGGAATCTAGTTGGAAAAGCAAAACTGCAATAAAATAAGATTCTTATTTGTACTGAATCCAACTTTGAAGTTTTAAGACAAAAAGTTCTGAAAAACAGTGCTTATTTATGCTCACAGTAACCCTAACATGTTATTATCCACATTGCACAAAAATCGAAGTTTAGAAGTTAAAGTTTGTCCAAAGTCACACAAGTGCTATGTAGAGACAGGGAGACGCAAATATAGGTCAGTCTGAATGCAAAGCCTAAATTAATCTTGACTATAAAATTTTAAAACTACTCTTGACTTGAAACAAATTGGGCAACCTGTTAGCTCTCCTTGATCTATCTAATCAAAAATGAGGCAGATTTGGTGGAAGTTATGATTAAGTACCCAGCTCTCCATTCTGGACTGAGGCATTCACTCGCCCACCTGCTGGGAGTACTAGCTGCCGTACAGCTCAAAAACGGAGCCCTTCCCCACAGACTCCCTTCAGCTGAAGGCAGTCCCTTCCCCAGGGCCCCCCTTATGAAGTGACTTGCTCCATGGTGAATGTGAGAGCTTTGCGTCCAGAGGGGAGGGACGGAATGGACCATCTCAGGTCTAGAGCTCCGTGTGGAATCAGCTGATGCTTTATTGGGAGTACACCACACACTTCTACTCTTGCCTTTCACTTCCCAAGTGTTGATCTTAAGAGTGCTTTCCAATAAACTTCCTCCTTGTAAACCTTGATCTCACAGTCCCACAGTCTTAAGCCCAACTTATATCAGCACAGGCTTTTCTGTCCCTGCTCACATCAATGACAAAAATGAATCAGAAAGGGCAGCATATGACAAGTACCACTGGAGTCCATTTTCTTAGGTCGTCCATCAACTCCCTGAGTTTACATACAAAACTATGTATGTGTTTGTATGCATTTTTATGGGTGAGAAACAGCAATTATAATTGCTTTCCAAAGGGATCCAGGATCTTTTACAAACTGAAAACCACAGGACTGTGAACAGTGGGCTGACACTGGTCCATTATAAACATCAACTTTGTTCTTAGAGTGATGGTTTAACCAGATATAAATCCATCTAATGATCTTAACCTACTTTTTTCTCTCTTCCTTAGCATGAGAGACAGTATTGAACACCTTGCTACAGTATGTTTGTGACAGTGCTCTCGATAGATCCATCTAATTCAACTGAGTATTAAATCCACTTTATTAAGGCGGCTAGGTGCTCTGTTATGTCCTTGAATTCCCTTTTAACCACTTTTTTTTTTTTTAAACATTCCCAGAACAAAAGTAATTCTCTTTGGTGGAGAAGACAGAAATAAAATAGGACTTGAGTAATTTCTGTTTGCCATCAGTTAACAATAGAAATCTGCCCACTGTAAGTCTATCACTTTCTCCTTGCTTCTCCGGGTCAAAAAAAGTATCTAAAAAGAATTTTTTTTTTAATTAGTGAAGCCACTGTTTCTTTATTCTGGCTCCAAACAATCTTACCATCTTTGTTATCCTTGGGCTTTGCTCCAGGCATCAGACTATTTGAGACCTTACACTAGCTCTAGCTCTCACCTCTAACGTAACTCTTCCCACATTGTGCCTTGCTTGAATCCATGTCACCCTCCTTCCTTCTTCCACACTTTGTATAACTTCTTTTAAAATTATGGAATCTCAAGAGTCAAGTTAGAGATTCACTGCCCTATTTCCCCAAAAGAAGTTTCAGAAAAGTGCTTCTCAAAAATTGTCATCCGTACTGATACCTTAAAACTTTATTACCAACCTGATGAACCGTGGAGCCACCAGAACCCTGAGCATCTGAAGAACGGGTCACGGGAAGTGGAGGTACGAGATCCGTTTTTGAACTGCAGAGAATTTGTTTTAGAATTAAGGATGGAGACAGTACCTAGAATCACAACTTGAGCTGGAAGAGGATTACAGGATAGAAAGCGTGTTTTATATGCTTTCATATTCCTTACAGTGCCTATACAGTGCTTCACACAGAGAGGTGTTTAATAAATGTTTTTGAATTAAGTTGAGCAGGTTAAGTAACTTGCTGAAAATCAAAGCAAATAAATAGAGGAACCAAGACTAAAACAGGTGTAGTTCCCATGTGCTTTTGTTACTGTGACATGTATAAATGGCTTTTTGATTTGTTTCCAGAGGAGCATTTATTGTCCATTTATTCTTTTTTCTATAAACCTATGGATCTATAAATAGCCAGGATCTACAATTTACAAACAAAACAAAAAATAAACAAAACCTGGCTTACACCTCTCTCTGCTGGGTTAGTCTATCTCCCAAATTATTGTTTACTAAAATTCTGAGCCTTAATTCAGAGTTCAATGATTAACATTCCTAACCAGCAATACCAAGTACATGATGATTAATTATTTCATTAACGTATTCATTTAAAATAGAGCACCTGTTGTGACCACAGTGTGAGATATGGCCACTTAACTCAAAAGAAAAACTAAATACAAAGAAATGACTGTAGCATATATTTGCTGTAGTAAAAGAAAAATGTCATCAAATCAGAAAGAAACTTATGCCACTTCTCTCAAATAAGAATGTCTCATTCATAACAGAATAGTTCATACATTTTTCTTCTTCTAAAAGTTTCGTGCAGGGCACCTGGGTGGCTCAGTCAGTTAAGGGACTGCCTTTGGCTCAGGGAATGATCCCAGGGTCCTGGCATGGAGTCCCACATCAGGCTCCCTGCTCTGTGGAGAACCTGCTTCTCCCACTCTCTCTGCCATTCCCCCAACTTGTTCTCTCTGTCTTACTTTCTCTCTCTCCCCCTGTCAATTGAATAAATAAAAACCTTTAAAAAAAAAAAAAAATAGAAGCTTCAGTGCATAGCTTGGAGGTGGCATGATTTAGCCATAGTCTAGATCTGTGCTACCCAGTGTGGTTGCCACTAGCCATACAGAGCTATTTAAATTAATTAAAATTAATTAATTAAATTTTCAGTTTCTTAGTTACACTAGATAGAATAATCAAATAATAACCACACATACAGACCATTCCCATCATTGCAGAAAGTCCCATTATACTATCTGCTCTGGAGCTGAAGCCATGAAGGGGATGATGTACTCAAGCTTGCCTACTTACTTCACCTCCGAGAGAACAGATCGCTCTCCATCTGAACACTGGGACCGGCGATACTGGCGGTAACTTCGAGGCGAATGGGAATGCCTGATGCGGATTGGGTCACCTTGAGTCCTGAACAAGCAACCAAAAATGTGGAAACAAACCAGAAGTCAGAACAGGATAATTTGGAATTTTTCCTCAATATGGAATGAGACTTTGAGAGTTTAAAAAGAACTTGATCCCTCTGAGCCTGGAAAACCTAAGTGGCTTAAATTTCACAAGCTAACAAGAGAAAACTGCTCCTTTGACTATACATGAAAATGCCACTCTAGTATTTGTATGTACATAGGTGATTTTATATATATATACACATATATATATACATGTGTATATATGTATATACACATGTATATATATATATAATCTTCTAAGTGAAAAAATTGTAATGAAACCATTCCTTGTTGCATTTTTTCCAAAAGTGTGGAAGTAAAAAACCTACAATGCAGACAAAATGGCATTCCACCAGAAAAAGTTGGCCCTTGTCCTAGCTACTAATTAGGCTGTCATTAATAATTGAGTCTTTAGCCTAAAGATAAGGAGAGGTGGGCGGGGGCAGTTGGCGAGGGTGTGTACAAACCTGCTGTTCAACCAAAGAGAGGAAGCAAGCATGGGTTACAGAGGGACATAAAGCCATGAAGTAGACACTTCCCCTTAACTAATTATAGCAGGACAGAAAACAATAAAGAAGTCATCATCTGCCGCACTCTAAACTGAATGATTAGGGAGTCCTGTTAGGCTTCCATGAAGCATGTCCCATGTGCTAGTCTATGACAGGGATTGGATTGGGCTTACAGGACAGGATTTGTAGCCAGCATCATTCTCTGGGCATTAAAGTAATGAGTAAGAAGAAGCACTGTTACCAGTTAATGAATATCTCAAAGAATTTTTATTTTAAAACTGACATTAAGCATCAAAAGCCCCTTGCTAGCTACCACATACAAACGGGCAGTTAACAGAAGATGACAATGATTGTAGGACAGAATAACAATTAGCTTTAATATAGCCTTTTCTACCTCTCTCTAAAGTTTTAATTTTAGTTAAAATGCAAAGACAAAGCACTTCGTGGAACACCATTGATGAGTAAGAACGTACTATTTACTTATAAGTATTAATAAAACGTTTGTCAAAAGATTTTCAAAGACATACGCACTCTACTTTAGTATATGGAATCTCTTTTAATTGTTCTTCAGACAATCCAGAGGGATCCACAAGTTCCTTTCTAGAAGGGAATGTGCAAGAAAATAAAAGTTACGATGCTGATATAAATACTAATACCTTTCACAAACGGCAGATGGGTTTTCCCTTCCTAATCTTATCCCTAAATACAGTGTTAGTAAAACTAAGAGAAACATAAGCCAGGAACAAAGATTAAGAAACTAGAATGTATTCAAGGAAAAATGGGGTGGGGACCCTTTTCTATAGCTCTTCTCCCTTTTTTCCAGTTTTTCTATGACCAGAATGTAGAGGACTCTCCACCCATCATCTCCCTACAAAAAATCTGCTTCTCTCCCCTGTAGTAGGCGTCTTTTTTTCCTCCGAATCTGTTTTCCTTGGTATTTATTTGTAAACTATTGGCCAGTCTGAGGCCCATTTACAGGTAAGGCTAAGTGATCTAAAGAGAAGACTGCCTGGAGAGGGGCTGCTGGCCTGGAAAGGCACCGCCATGGGAGGGCGCTGTTCCACATCATGATGGCAACAAAGACCATGTGACAGGCTTCGGCCAGAGGCTGCCTCTTGCTGTCCTTGGTGGTCCTCGTAAATGCCTTTAAGAAAAAAAGCAGTACTTACTGAATATGCTTCCATAACTCTTCTTTTGCCTGGATATCAGGGCTCCTCCTATAAAGAGAGAACACACCACTCATCTCTGCAAACATGCTTCATCTGACAACCTCACAGCTAACTTTAGCAGAGCAACATTTATAGTTTTCAGTCCGTGAAGTTATTTGCCAGCAGGGACGGGAAAAGGAAAGACTAGGCATGGAGAGCCAATGTGGGGTAGTATAAAGGCACCAGATAATTTATTTGCTAGCACTACTAAAGAAAAAATCACAGAACAACCAGCCACAACCAGGCAGGGCTTTATCTGATGAAGGAGCTTAGATGTTCAGGAGGAAATCCACACACCCTCCAGTGGTGATCTGTTCCTGGTCCTTTTGGCTATTTCTGAGTAAAGGCAAAGAACTCATTCTGATTCTATTAATATGAAAGATTCCCAACAGGACCTGTGATTACCTAGTGGAAGCAGCAACCAGAGAGAAAAGGAAATGGTGGGACAGCTCAGGCCAGCAGACTGTATCAGTGACCCACATTTCCTCTTACATCTGATGTTGTGTTTCTGGGTCATAGCGTGGGCCCAGAAATGCTGGGACATATGTGTGGCTCGCACTGTCACCCCCTATACGCCCCATCTCTATCCCTATCTACATAGCCCACAAATCTCTTCTCCAAAAGCTACTTGAGTAGAAATTATACCACTACTTTTAATTTCCTAGAATAAGAATTTGAAGTCAGCATTCATGTGTTCACCCTCCCCATAATAGCAGTGAATAATAGAAATAATAGAATAATAGAAATCTGTTATCACTGCAACTGCTGCCACAGAATGACTTTTTTCCCTAGTGAGAAAATGATAAGCTTTCATTCCTCCTTTCAACAGAACCAAGGCCTAATAAAGGCCCAAAGAAAGGACCCAAACCCTAACAATTAAAAGGCCTGGAGGTTTGCAAAGCCCCTGCAATGCTCTGTCCTGTGGAATTTTACATTCATAATCTGTATCAACATTTTGGGCTCAGTATCACTTTCAACATACGATACTATCATTGCTTTCATTTTTCTTAGTTAATGAGGCACCACTGAGGCATTCTGGTAGGGCTTTCCAAGCCCACAGAATACAATAAGCTACTTTCTAGCAATTAAATTGACTAAGTATCCCCCCACCTCCACTTTGTGGGGGGAAAAAAAACTGTAAAGGTCTTTTAATCAACTCAAAAGGAATCAAAACACGGAAGATATGGGGAGGGGATGAAGCTTTGGTCTCAAACATAAAACGTGATATTGTTAAATGTTGATGTTGTTATATAATAAAATTATACGCTTAAAAAAATCTTAAGAAATGCTTCTTTGGAAGGATTTTCTGTAAGAAATCTGCCTTTCCTATATTTGGCTGGTGAGGTTCACTAGACAATATCTTAACCCATTAAATGATACTGCCAGAGAAGGTACTGCCAGAAAAGGTGAGAATATTAAAAAGCACTAAGCTTTAAAAAAAAAAAAAAAAAAAAAAAAAAAAAAAAGCACTAAGCTATTTACTGCTTAAAATAAGGAAGGATGGTGCTGTTTTAACTATATACCAGCATCTGATTGTCACAAAAGGTCACCCAGTAGTCTAAAGTATTACATCTTATCTAGGTTAGCGGGCCATTATACTGATAATCATTCTTATGTCTGGAAGATGCAATAGTGTGGCTACTTTTGAGCTGAGCCAGGTTCTTACATTTTGAGTCAGATAATTCTTTGCTACAGAGGGTTGTCCTGTGCATGGTAGAAGGATTCGTAGCACCTGCGGTCTCCACCCACGATGCTACTAATACCTCCCCAGGGTGACAAGCAAAAATGTCTCCAGATCTTGGCAGATGTTGCACAGGGGGCAAAACCGCCCCCACATATGAAATGAATGGTCAAAGGTATGACCTGAAAGTAAAGCGGCTCTGGTTGGGAGGAGGAAGGCCAGCTCCCTGGAAGTCAGCTCCCTGCAGAGATCCATTATATGGATACGGAAACAGTGCTGGAAAGAATGACAGCAAGGCGGAAACTAAATCTTAAGAGAATGAGGGAAGAGGCCCAGGGCACAGTTGCTGAGCTACAGTAAGTGGTGTAATTTTGATGGCATGAGATTAAAAACTGAGTGCTTTGAGGAAGAAGAGAGAGAGAATGAAAAAAGCAATGAGGGGCAAGTAGGATATGCCTGTCCCCCATGATCGCTATACCAGGCTAGTGATGAGAGATGGTGAATATGAACAATATACAAAAAACCTGATAACACTAGATATTTCTGAGTGTTGGAATTGCAGGTGATTTTATTTTCTTCTATCTTTTCTGATTTATTTTTAGCCAAGAGAATTTCTAACCTTGGCTATTAGAAAAGGAAAAAAAAATGTATTTTCATGTTTTAAAAAATTACTATCGTTGCAATTCCACAGGCAATTCCTTTCATTCCCATCTTGTAAGAATTACCAGAAATGTTATCTTAACCCAGATGGGAATATTAGTCCTTCCAGCCATAAATAATGATCCTAAAAGATTCAGAAATTTAGTCTATATGTTTCAGTTCTGTAGCATCTTTAATACTCATATATTTAAGGAAACTAAGTTCTGAAATGGCCAGCAGTTTCAAGCAGCTTTAGGGTAGGAAGAAGTCTCGAAGCTAAAGAAACAAACCAAAAAAAAACAAAAAACAAAAACCAACAAAAAAAACCCCTATTTCCTCCAATTGCTAACCACCTGTGATTTAACAAATGTAAACACAGGCAACATGCTAATGAGGAATGTATTATTTTTATGCTTACATCTGCACACATTTAATCAATAATTTAGGATGAATTCAGGATCTGCAGCTCAACATCATTTTACGGAATTAGAAAGCTGTGGGATTTTGAAAGCCATTTTTCTTAATTAAAAGACCCTTACTTATGCAGATGTTTTACTTGAACTCTCCAAGTAAGTTCCTAAGGAAATGTTCTATTTCTATTAAAAAAAAAAAAGACACATGAAGTCTAGTATTAGTCCAGTATTTCAAAAAAAAAAAAACCTTCCCTCATTCACACCTTATACCAATAGTCCAATTTAAATATTCATTTTTCAGAGAAACTTGTTTGATGAGGCATCATTTAGAATCATCTCCCTTTCTTCCAAAACCCTAAAATAAGAACACTACTTCATAAATCTACAAAGGGTTTTTGTTTGTAAGATTATTTATTTATTTATTTGAGAGAGAGAGCACACAAATGGTGGGGGGGGCAGAGGGAGAGAGTCTTTCAAGCAGACTCCCCACTGAGTACGGAACCCCATGCAGGTTTAATCCCATGACCCACAAGATCACAGCCTAAGCTAAAACCAAGAGTCAGACACTCAGCCAACTGAACCACCCAGGCGACTGTACAAAGGGTTTAAACCCCATCAGTGGAGGTAGTCTTCTACATCCTCCTAACCCTCCAATTATATTAGCTAGAAAACATTACCTATTTATTCCATAGGGTCCAATACACTCTATTTTGTATACTATATTATACTAAAAAAATAAAATAAATGTGGTAGCATTTGACTTATTTTTGTGATCTTACTACCAAATACCGCTCTAAAAGGAAATTTAGAGTTGAAGATACGTTACTAAGAAAACTGTAAGTTTATAAAACATTTTTATTTAAGAAAATTCAAAGCCCTTAACAAATACATCAGTAATTCCTCATCATAATTCTGAGTAGTCAGAAGAGACATGATGAAGAGAGAGCTTATCTTCCTCTCCTTCCCTCTTTCCTCCCCTCCATGTCAGAATTAAAGAAGGATTAGGAAGCCACAGAGCCCAGCAACCTAGCTGCTGAAGATCATTCAGTCACTTCCCAAACCTACATGCTCAATATTTAAGGCATCAGACTTCTTTGTGGTGTTTAACTGGGAACATCACTTCACCCTGACAATTTCATCTGGGCATGATTTTTCAGTAAAATAGAGGGTCATTATTACCACCAGAGGGAGCCTGAGTCTTCTCACACACACAAGTTGAACCTATGAGAACTAATTGTTTTCGCTTCAATGCCTCTTCCAAATATTCCAATGAATAAAGGTTTACTCACATAGAAAAGCACTTTCATCAAATTTTTCTAATGGTAAGTAAACAAGAATGTGATGCCAATGTAGCTGCAAACGTACTAGAAAGAACTGAAGTTCTCCAAGACCTCCTAGATGAGAGGCAATCAGATTATAGTTCAATATGTTTTAGGAGAGAGGGGTTTTGTATTTCATATTACTGTATGTCTCTGGTATTTATAATAAATACAGATTTCTGGCTTTTCACTGGAAATTTAAAAAAACAATGAATGAAGCGTGTGTGGATGATGTATCATAGCATTCCAAGCTCCCAGCGGATATACCTCCATGTGATGATTTCTAGACAGTGCAGTAGGGATTTAAGACTATGGGAGTAATTGAGAGGTAAGTGGTTTACTCCACATCTAAAATTCCAAATATATGTGAAGAATAATTTTAATTACTTTCTCAGAGGCTGTTCTGCCGTGTTTCCATTTTTTTCTTAAAAGCAGTAATGGTTCCTAAATTTGCATAGACCCAAATTCTAATCTTCATGTGAGGTAGCCCCATCCTACTCTCTTCGTATCCCCCCTCCTCCTCCTCATCTCAAGTAGAAAAAAAGAAAAAAGTCACTACCTTACAGTGTTTGTAGAGATTAACCAAGATCTGGAGAACTTACTATTTATAGTAACTGTAATTATAGATATGATGTCACAGGTACCTGAATTCAAGTATGACTTGAAGTATGACTTGAATTTTCAGCAAAAGTCCTTGAGAATGGTACTAATGTTTGTACAGAGGACAGGGGGAGTTGATGGAGATTAGGCAGTAAGCTAACACTGGGAGGCCCAGAATGCCAACAGAGGTCTGACCAGCAGCACCCAGCAGGTAACTTCCTGTAAACAAACCCAGATTTGTAATGTCATAGCTCAAATCAAAGAGGGCCCAGTGTGTCCAAATGAGGTATTTCATCAACCTGCAGAGTTTAACAGTTTTATCTAGTTGCGTACTTGACATTTCCATTTGACTACCAC